GCGGGGGGGGGGCTGTGGCCTCCCAGTGCTGTTGGAAGGGGCGCTTCCTTCTTGCTGGGAGCTGCTGGCTGTCGCTGTCGCTGGAATGGGCGCGGGTACCTGCCTCCAGCAGCATCTCACGTGTCTGATTTGCGGCTCGGTGAGGGCTCCGGGTCAGAGCCCGGCAGCGCCCTCGCCAGGACTGGTCTCAGTTAAGAGCAGGCGGGTTCTGAGCAGGGTCCTGAGGAACTTGCCAGAAGGAAGCAGCTGGTCTTTATTTCTCCTGTCCACACGCGTCTCTTCTCTTCCGGATGCCGGGGCCTGCCGGGCCTGTCCCCCGGGTCCAGGCTGTGCTGTTAGAGCAGGCGTGGCTTCTGGTCCCTATGTCTTGGCTTGGTTGGCTCCCACGCGGTTGGAACGTTCCTTGGGCCCCGATAAGGAAACTGAGGCTGGGAGAGGCAGAGTGTGCCAGGTGAGGGCACACAGACGCCTCCCCAGGCCCATCGCAAGGCTCATCCGAGAGGAGGGGGACTGTCCTCACAGGTCACCTGGGCACAGGGGCTCCCAGGAGAGTGAGTGACGGGGGTGGGGCGGGTCCGAGGAGCAGATGCTGGAGGGAAAGGAAGTGGCGGGAACAGGGAATGTGAGAGCCCAGGGCCCTGGGCCTGTGAGAGCCCAAGGGAGAGAGAGATAGGAACACTTAGAAGGGAAGCTGTGAGCCATGAGGCTGGTAAGAGGCCGGCAGGCGGGGCAGAGGGGAGGGGCCTCTGAGCACAGGTTCCTAGTTCACATTGGGTCCTGTAATTCCAGGTTCACTGCAGGTTCTTGAGCTAGGAAATGTCCTGGAGAAAAGGTTTTTGGCTTTTTGTAATTAAAAAAAATTTTAAGTAATTTTAAAAATTGATTTCAGAGAGAGGAAGGGAGAGGGAGAGAGAGATAGGAACATTAGTGATGAGAGAGAATCATGGATCAGCTGCCTTCTGCACGCCGCCCCCAACCCCCCACTGGGGATCGAGCCCACAACCCAGGCATGTGCCCTGACCAGAATTGAACCATGACCTCCTGATTCATAGGTCGGTTCTCAACCACTGAGCCACACCAGCCGGGGAGAAAAGGTTTTTTGAGGCACGTTAATTATTCTGGCCGACTTCCGATGACCAACGGAACAATGGCACTGAGAGGGAAGCAGGAGATGGGCTAAGAGGCTTCTGTCATAACCCACATGGACAAAGTAAGCACTTGTCCTGGGGTGGAGCCCTCTGGGTGCGGAGGTCCAGACCTGGCAAACTCCTACTCATCCTCCAAAACCCCAAGTCAAATGCTTCCTCTTTGCCATCACTTTCAGTGATCCCCTGGTCTCCTATTCCAGGCAGAATGTTTTTAGAACTCTTAAATACACCTAATTCGGTTAAAGCCTATATTGAATTATATGAGAGTTATTTGCAAATACATTTACTTCTGCTGAGAGATTATGAATCACTGAAAAAGGGGCCACTGGCTAATTTATCTTTATTTCCCTAAAGCCCGTGAGGTCCTCAGAAAATGTTAATTGGTTGAATAAATTAAAGAGAGAAAAAAACAAAAACCAGAGAGACGTGCGGCTTTAATGACATACCAAGTGCAGGAAGCAAGTCACAAGCCGCCCTCCTTCCCCATCAGGCCGGTCAGTTCCCCATGAGCTAGCTGGGAGGCGGGCTGCCCCCACCCCCCGTCCCCCCGTACCCCTCCCCCGCCTGCCCCTTGCCCTGGCCGGAGTGTGCAGAATGAGGGATTGAATCTTCAGCTCAGAGAAGAGGGAGGAGTGGATCAGGGAGACGCCTGGGTGGCAGACCCAGCTGGAGCCCGAGTGGAGGGAGAGAGGAGGGGGCTGGGCAAGGCCAATGGGGCCGGGGAGGGTCTGGTCCACCCTCCTGGGGCCGCTCCCTGACTGGGCAGAGCCTCCTGAGACATCACAGACATGACTCCAGGCCCCGCCTCCTAGCGGCTGACGCTCCGGGACAGCTGTTGTCCTGTAACCAGCAAGCGCCTCACCGGACAGTGGTCGGAGCGTCAGCCCAGGGTCCGTGGGCTTTCTGGGCCCTTCGACAGCAAACCATCCCCTCCTCTCAGATGCACCAGATACTGATTACGGCTTTTTGTGGGGCCGGGGGTGAGGTTAGAAACACGACGTTCAATCTACGCGTTTGAGGAAAGGCCAGCATGTGCCCACACGCATCTGAACCTACGACATGGGTGTTTGGCGTCAGGGTGGTGGGGAGGCCACAGCCTCGCCCCGGAGGGCAGCATGGATTTCACGGCCCCATTGCTGTTCCACTCAAGGTCCCCTGTGTGGGGGGGAGGGCCGTGCCCTTGCGGACGATGCGCGGTGCCTACATGGCCACCCCGGCCGCAGACACGGTCAGGGACGCGCTCCAGCGGCGAGGAATTGCGGCGGGAGCTCAAGCGTGTCGCCTGCCCTGGGCCTCTGGGCTCTGGGCCCTGGGCTCTGGGCTCTGGGCTCTAGGCTCTGGGCTCTGGGCTTGGGGACAAGGAAGTCAGAGCACGCTCCTCGCTCTAAAGGACCTGACCAGTGGGCGGGCCTCGAAGGGAGGGCCCTCAAAGGCTCCTGGGAGTGGGGCCCTGAAGGCTGAGTAGGATTCCTCACCCCAGAAAGGGGAGGCGGGCACCCCAGGCAGAGGGACAGCGGATGGGTGACCTCCCCCCTCTCCCCACAAGACCTCCCACCCCCAGCCCCTCCCACCCCTGCCACGTGGGCGGCCCTGGGAGACCCGGGCGTGTCCCTGGCCATGGGTGACGCCCTCCTGGCCGTGCTCTGGCTGCAGCTCACACCCCCGACAACTCCTTCATGGGCTTCGTGTCCGAGGAGCTGAACGAGACGGAGAAGCAGCTCATCAAGGCCGGCAAGGCCAGCAACATGGCCGTGGTGTACGGCAAGGAGGCCAGCATCTGGAAGGTGCGCCCCGCCCGCCTGCCCGGAGCAGCCACCCCGGACCCGCTCCCACCTGCCCCCCGACGGATGGCCGATGGCCATGGGGAAGCCTGGCTGGGGCTGGCCCCTTCCCCCCTCCCTGTCCCTGCTCTGCCCAAACTCAGACCGAGGTCTGTGACTTCACCCTCCCCCTCCCTGGGATGGTGAAGGGGGCTTAGGCGAGACTCGGGGGTTCTGTGGGACGGGAGGCCATGGAGAAGGCGGGAGAGGTCCAGGGATTGGCACCCACTTTCAGGGCGGGGTCCCGGAGAAGCGCTGCCGGTGGGGAGGCTGCCTGCTCGCCCGTCACTGACCTGCTCTCTCTCCTCTTTTCTCTGCGCCCCTGGCCACGAGGCAGCTCCAGGTAGGACTGTATGCCGCGTGCTCCCTCCTCCTCCCGCCCCTCCTCCTCCTGCGTAGCACGTGGCTGTTTTGTGGAATGACCCTCACGCTGGAGTGGTTGGGGTGAGGTTCAGCGAACAGTGACTCAGACGGTTGAGGGCAGAGAGGAGAGGGGCTGTGCCAGGGCCGCACAGCTGGTGAGCGGCCGCCGACCTAAGACTGGCCCACAGCTCCTGCTTCCAGACCAGGGCTCTCCCTCCTGCTGCCCCGCCTCCCTGGGGCAGGGCGGGGCTCCCACCTCCCCCTCGCCCCCCAGGGGAAGGAGAAGGTCCTGAGCATCCTGAGCCAGCACATGGAGGTGCACGGCACCGTGTTCTACGAGAGCCAGCGGCCCCCCGAGGTCCCCGCCTTCGTCAAGAACCACGGCCTCTTGCCGCAGCCCGAGTTCCAGCAGCTGCTGCGCAAGGCGAAGG